GTGTGTGTGTGTGTGTGTGTGTGTGTGTGTGTGTGTGTGTGTGTGTGTGTGTGTGTGTGTGTGTGTGTGTGTGTGTTTTTACAAATATGTTTGACTGAAAAAAAAACATATTTGGTAAATCAAAATTATTATTTATTTATTTTGTCATTACGTGAAACTGGCTAACTGACAGCTCCCAAAAATGTAACATTTATATATAAAAAAAGATCTCTCTAATTCAGAAAACCACATGTTACCATGTGTTGCCTAGCAACCAGAATGACCTTTTCTCTGTATTTATGCACTTATATCGCTTTTTACAGATATTAAATAAATACATAAAAAAATGTATAGTGCAGCCTGTTATTGACACAAATTATACGGCATGTACACATACTGGACATTTTTCAGCTTTTTGGGGGTCTTTTAAAAAAAGTTAAAGTAGCTGATAGTCCTAAAAGTTTTACTCAGACCTTTTTTTCCCTCTCTTCTCATTTTTGTTCTTTTCCATAAACTATTTGTATTACATGAAAACAAAGTCCCAATAACAGTCTGTCATTATTCCCATTCTCTCTCATCTGAATGTGCGGATCTGAGAATCCTTTCTTTGGAACACAAAATGATATGGTCATCATTAAGGAGCCCTGTGTAGGTGGAGTAAATGCAGTCTGGCATGAATACTGTACATCAGTCACTGGTTCTGCTGGTGTAGACCCGGAGGCACCGTGGAGCTATTACAATATCAGATGGCACAAAGTGCTGGTGACACACAGCCGCCTGGCACATTTTTCAAGATGATGAATGATGCCAAAAAAGTTCTTTTATTTTATTTTATTTTTTTTATTTTTTTTCCCCAGTTGTCCTAAAAACAACAAAAAAAAAAGTGTCTAAAAGTTTAACATTTAAGATCCTAAGACGTAACCACTTCTGGATTCTTCCTCCGCCCATCTCTCTCTTCCCTACAGTATTTTGGCTTCAGTCTAAAAGGCCTCCTTACCTAATTGCATATTGAGTGGGATCACTTTACCGCCGTGCCCTACACTACAGCCTGGACACTGTTCATGTCACTGGCAGCATCACTGTAACAATCTCCATTTTAAAGTGGCAGGGTCAATTTCCAGCCTTCTCTCGCATCCTGCTCTGCAATTTAATTGCTAATGCATCTCCTGTTTCTGCTCCTCTGGCTTTCATTTCCATGCTGCCAACCCCCCCCCCCCCCCCCCCCCCCCCCCCCCCTCCTCTGGGTACAATCTTACTCTTCTTGCTTAAATCTCTTCCTTTTGCTCTACCATCAAGTTTCCCCCTCCTTCCCTCCCTACCTTTTCAGCTCTGTGTAAAGAATAAGCTCAGTGTCACCTGAGGTGCCGGAGTTTTGCTGGTGTGAAGGCTAATCGGTGACAGTGATGAAGATCCTCCTGACAGGACAACAAAAGCAGTGGGGTGTTTGAGTCACTTGTGAACTGTGTAGACCGTTATTCAATTCCTGCTTAAGTATTAATAAGGCTTTACATGCCCTGGGGAGGTCGTGAGATGCAAGTGCATGCTTGTGCATGCATGTGTCTCTGAGTGCAAGAGCTAATTTGTGGGCTGCTCATTTTTCTTGACAATCACGAAAGAGGAGGCTGGTAAAGACTTTGGTAACTGAGGACCAGCTCATGTAATCGGAGTAATAAGGAGCCTCAGAGGAAAGCAGGATGCTATGAACACTTTTGAAAAGTTTTGTTGGAGAGGATCTGCAGCGAAAAGTCCTGCACGGGACGGATGGTGAGTTTGAATTATTTCAGTTTTTTTGGGGGGGGGGTTCTTGGATACATGTTTAACTTTACTCATCCTCAGTGTCCTCAGATAATGTATTGATTCAGTCACTCTTTGGGGAAAACTTTAAAGCAGTTTTTGCCTCATTAGGCACGATTTACAGATCTCACTCAACTTTGTTTTCAAAGTTCGCTGAAACGCATTTTCGCACAGTGAGTTTCACACAGTAACAAATGTTGCTCACACTTGTTGCTTAGGTCGCCGTTCAAACTGGTGGCAGGTCAGAGCGAGGTCGAGCTGAAGAAAAACAGAATGGATGCCTCAGAGAATAATTTACTTACAAAAAGTGTCTCAATATTTTTCTCTTATGTTGATATATAGTAAGAGAGCTCTGCTGTACATATAAAACATTAACATTTATTGTGTTCTGCTTTTCTACTGTGAATGAGAAGTAGCACAGAGAGCGACTCAGTTTCTCTTTCCCGCATAAACCAGTGCTTTGGTACGTCTACACAATATAAAGGTTGGGGAGGGTCTGTTTGTGTTTTTTATGTCATATTTTTGTCATTTTCATCCAGGCAAACGCTGGTAGGATGTTTAGTGAAACTTGCACACAGCGAACACATAACAAGCAAAGTGTGCTCAAGGTTAAGGTCACATTCGTAGCTTTACAGCCAATAAACTGCATTATGATGGATCATGAGCTTGGTGACCTACTAAATCATCAATGTGGTGGTTGCAGAATTACAAGACGACCACGTGATGTTGAAAATGTGTCCTAAACACACACACACACACACACACACACACACACACACACACACACACACACACACACACACACACACACACACACACCTTTTTGTACTTTTTGTGTAATGAATGCTGCATACTGTTGTTATTATGACCTGTTGTGGGGATGACGCAGACAAAAGCAGTTTTTGTGTTGTGAGGTTTGTGAGGGTGAGTTTGTGAGGTTTTGCCAGAAGAGTCACGAGTTTAGCAACTGTAGTTTGGAAATTGTGTTTCAAGAAATGTGTCCAGACAGCTGTGGACGTTTTGATCATTTAGCGAGAGCTACCGTGCCTGTTCCTGCAGGAGAAATTAGAAAGTGGTGATTATTAAAGACAAAAGGAGTCTATCAGTCACTTCTTTGGCTTTTCAAATGTTGTAATTCTCTTAAATGAACAAGTTATGGGGAAGACTTGTTGGATAAACTGTAATTAACAACTGATTCAAAGTGATTCACTGCAGTTTTTATGGGCTCATCGATAAGATAACCCTGCAGGTGCAACATGTAAATCTATGGTGGAATATTTTGCATTCTAGCGGTTTTTCCAGGTGTTTTTTTCCCTCCCTTTGTTAGACACAGAAATGTGACAAACTGCTGCTGATTGGAATAAAAACCAGACATTTGCTTCTGCATTGAAAGTGTCGTCCTCCAAGCAGCCAGGATAGACTTCATTGGTTATGTGCTGCCTCTGTATTCAGAAGCTGTTTGTCACCTTTTTTCTTTCATGCGCAAAGTCACCACCAACACCTTGAAAGCACACGAGCATGCACGCCGTCCCAAAGTGATGCTGCTGCGCTGAAAAAGGAGAAGAAACGGAAACTGTCTCCCTTCACCATTATCGCTGACCACATGGATAAGCCGTCTCACCCCGTGCCGCAGTTCGAGGTGGACGTGGACCTGGGCTTTGCTCTCTTCTTTCTCTTCCTGCTGTGTTTTTTCCTTCTGGTGACGGTGGTACGCTGCGCCCAGACCGTCGTGGACCCTTATGGCTCGATCTCCACCTCCACCTACCAGGAGGAGCAGATCACCTGAGATAGAGAGAGGGAGAAGGGGTGGGGTGAGAGTGCAATCTTACCACTGTGTGGGTGCATACTTTTAAGATCATGTGGTTTATAATGTATGTACAAAAAAGCTTCAGGACATTGAGCAAAAAGCAAGCAGTCTCATGGAAGACGTGAGGCGTGCATCGTGATGCTTTTCAGTGTTTCAGACTGAGGGCTCGAAGCACCGAGCTGTTAAAATCAGACTTTGTTCCAAGCATTAACACAAAGATCTGTCATGTTTAAGGCTTTTGGCCTTTGTTGGGTTGTTACTGAAAATGTTTCTCACAAGTATTTCTCATTAAATTAGCAACTAGCAAATTTCAGGTTTTCTTTTTCTGTACGTCAAACTGTTTAAATGTGATGCATCTTCTGTGTTCATACTCACAATTAATCAACAATCAAAAGCAGCTCATGTTTCCCTACAGTCCTCCAACACCGCTGTAGGCAGGACTTACAGGTACTATGAAGGTTTTTACAGACTAGTCACAACAGCAACAACCAACAGCAAAACCAGAGTGAGGGCAAAAGAAGGAAAACAGGTTTGTATTCAAATATGTTCAGTTTCTAACTTTCAGTTCCTCGAATTTCCAGAGTGGGGAAGCTGCTCATTTCAGTTTAGCTTTCATTGTTTTGAAAATATTTAGTTTCTGTCTGAGGCATAAACTAAACTAAAGAGGCAAGAGATTTAAAAAAGCCAGGCTACCATGATTCCCTCCATATTTGGGAAAAACTGAAATCTAGTTTTGTTTTTTTGTTTACTTTGGTCAACTAACATGTTTTTCTTCACCTAGTTCTGTCTTCTAGTTTAGCTTTTGTCATACAAAACTTTTTCTGTGTGGACCGTCTATGCTCCAAACCATTATTTAATTCAGCATGAGTGGTCTCAATGCGCTCTTTGTTACCCTGGCTGCTGCTTCAACACTGTCTACCCTGGGGCAGTAGCGCCCTCTGCTGGACAAAAGAGGAAAAGCTTACAGCACCTGGTATTCCCAGGCGGTCTCCCATCCAAGTACTGACCAGGCCCGACCCTGCTTAGCTTCCGAGATCAGACGAGATCGGGCGTGTTCAGGGTGGTATGGCCGTAAGCGAGAACATCCTTCATAAAAAGACTATTTATAGATTCGAAGTGTTATATATGTCCACTTGAGAATATGGTTGATTTGATTGAAAAGAACATACCACTATTTACTCAGCGAGGACTTGATTGTAGTTTTTTTTTTCTCCCTATAGTGTTACAATGTCTAAAATATTGTTTGCACCTGCTTCTTAACATAAAATTATATAAATAATAAAAGGTATCATATTATTTAAGTTTTCGTAGACTGCTGCTGACACAAGCCTGCAGTCAAAATGGCGTGTGCCGGAGGACAATACCGGGGAGACGACGATAGGGGGCAGCACTTCTCAGATTCATTTGTTAACAACCACTTTTGAACGCCGAGAAGAAGGAGAAAAACAACAAGTCTGTTAAGATGGAGGAAAAACCTGCCTGATAATTTTGGATAACACATATTTATATAAAAAAAAGAAAAGGAAAAAAAGTGCAGTTATGACGCAAACTCCAAAACAGTGATTTCAGTGTTAGCCTGATATGTAGCTGCCGCTCCAGCTCTCATTACAGCGGATAATTAAGACATAACATCAGGTAAGTGGTTGAATTATTTGTGTTTGTATTAAATGAGGTAAACCCCCACGCAGCTTGATTGTAGGTAGGAAATGTGTCTAAACACAGCTTTGTTTTGTTATTTGTTCGTTCTCAGTAGGCACAGCTGTAGCCCTTTAAACAGCTTTCAGAGTCTCCTGGTGCTACAGCACTCCTGTAGCAGCAAAAACAAAAAAGTTCACATTTTCTGATTCATTCTCAGGGCTTCAGGACACAGTGATGTCACATGTTTTTTGTTTGTTTTTGCGAAAAACAGTTTCACTTCCAATGAGTTGCCACTTGGCATTGGTGCTAATGCTGATCCAGATATTAAATTTTAAATGAAAATGCAAATGTTTTCTGTATGACTTCCTCTTTACAATGTTGCTTCAGTTTAATTAGGTTTTATGCATTCATTTATGCACAGTCCTGCCACAGCATTTCAGCCAGTTTGACTGATCCGTGTTTGTGCTAATATGCTGTGCATTATGGCCAAACATCTCCACCTTGGAACTCATCTTTCTAAAGCACATTGTTCCATAAATTATCTGGTTTGTTCAGATGCAACTCTGCAAACCTAAGCAGTGCTCCCATGTTCTTTCTTAAAGAGAAAAGGCTTTCTCCTGCAGCCCTTTAGACAAGTCATACTCTTTTTCTGATTGTACTGTCACAAACATTAAAGTTATACATTCTCACTGCTCACATGTCACATACTTTTAAGACATTACACAACAAACTTGCTAAGTTAAACCGAGTTACTCACACAGGTATAGCTGGGTGGCGCTTTAATGAAACAGCAGGTGCTGTCTACTCTCCAGCTGCTCCTGGCCACCCCTTTAAAACATGCTGCTGTGAGCTGAGCTCTGACACCAGGTATTTCTACAGTTAGTGGCTGGCCTGACTGAGTCACTGCCATTTGGAGTGTTATATTTTGCATGTTAGTGATGTATATATATATTTTTATTCTTTCTGTTTATGTTTTACTCCACTTTATTCACCATATTTTCATCATAATATTTTGACAATGGTGTGTGGTCTTAAAGCAGGGGTGTCCTGCAGGTTTTAGACCTTAGCCTGGAGTTGGACACCCCTGTCTTAAAGAGATGTTTAGAAAAGGCCTTCGGGTCATCGTTGTCCACTTATTTTGAAGCATTATCCAAGTTAATTTCAATTTCAGTGGCAACCAGGGCATGTTCATCATTTTCCCTCCTGGCTCAACCTGGCTACTGGATCAGCATTTTACTGGTCCTGTATATTTACTACTGACTTATTAAGTAGTGCTTGAAAATGCAGTACAGTAAATGCTGTGCCCCACTTAACGCTACAAGTATCGCTGCTAGAAAGAGATGCAGTGGCTGCTGTCAATTTGCTGCACAGGTAACAAGAAATCTGGCAAATTTAAAGATCTAACAGCTTATCTGTAAACAGAAGGCTTTTTTCTAGCTTCTGATTAATTTATTTGTGCTGTTGTTGTGTGAAACAAACCAGCGGCAGATGGTAGTTTAAAAATGTGCTGAGTTTTGCACCTAATTAGATTTTGAACCTCTAATTCTTAACCTGACAGCACAGGTTTTGGGTTTATGTAATTTAAAAAAAACAGACAAACAAAAACCAAGTGGACCGTTGTGAGCATGGAAATTACAATCATGGCCTTCGAGATTGAGGCAAAAGGTTGAGGTCATTATCGATGAAGAGTCAGACGACAGAGGGTGAAAAAGCCTTCGTCCCCTTGGGAATTATATTTAAGCAACCATATATTGTATAGAGTGAAAATCAGTGGACTTTATATAAGAGATCTCCTCTGACACACAGAAAAGACAGCTTTAACAAATGTTAAATGTGAATTTGATTGATAGCATTTTCATTTTCTTTTGATGGCGAGCTACAGTTGTCAGGATTTGTTCTCACCACGATGAAAGTCTGGCATGGCGATGGCTCAAGTTTCACTGATGCTTTTTTTCTTTTCAGACACTATGTCTGAATCGGCATGTGAGCCCATTCACTCCACAAATGAAACCAGCAGCCAAATGACACAATGGGAAAATGGCTCGGCCCCTCTTAATCTAATAAAGAAAGCAGTGGTGGTCTTGACCAGACTGCCCGATTATAAGATCAGCGCCCTGCGACCGCCGACGCCTCAGCAGTCCTACAGCGAAGCTGAATTCTCCAGCAGCTCCGGTTCTGATATGCAGTGGCAACCAGAGGATGATTCCACTGATTCCGATTTTTCGGTTTCGAACAATAATCAGAAATCTGACAAGAACAGCAGCGGTGACACAAGGAAACCCTCCAACAGCAGTGGTAAGGCCACAAACATTACCACTTGAATCCTGCTCTCAAAACTCTCAAATAACTTTAAAATTCCACTTCTTACTTTTGCCCTCAAAGAAATAAACCCCTCTGTTGGGATATCACCAACTTCTGCCCACTGCTCTCATGAAACTACGAACATCCATCCTAACTTACCGCAGGTTGAAGTGAAAGTGGACATGATGGTCTTGGCCAGGAAGAAACGCATGAAGTGGCAGCGTGGGAAAATAGTGGAGATAATTTCAAAGGGTAAGAGAAAATACTGCAGGTTTTCCAGGAATTATGATTTTCTTTGTTTGTTTATTATCCTTTAAACTTGTTAGTCCTTTTCAGATGAGAGCATTTCATTTCATTGTTGTTTTTTTTGTATATTTGTATAAAAATATCTTTTAATTCAATTCAATTTTATTTATACAGCCCCAAATCACAACACCAGACACCTCAAGGTGCTTTATATTGTAAGGTAGACCCTAAAACAATACATACAGAGAAAAACCCAACAATCATATGATAATAACAATAATGGATTGCATTTACATAGCACTTTTCGAGACCCTCAAAGCGCTTTACAATTCCACTATTCATTCACTCTCACATTCACACACTGGTGGAGGCAGCTACAGTTGTAGCAGGAGCAGACCTGGAGCAGACTGACAGAAGCAAGGCTACCATATTGCGCCTCTGGCTATCACCAGTAGTCGGTAGGTGATAAGTGTCTTGCCCAAGGACACAACGAGCAAGACAGAGCTGGGGATCAAACCAGCAACCTTCCGGTTACAAGATGAGCTTCCCAACCCCCTGAACCACGGTCGCCCCATGACCCCCTATGAGCAAGCACTTGGGTGACAGTGGGAAGGAAAAACTCCCTTTTAACAGGAAGAAGGCTCTGGCAGAACCAGGCGCTTTAAAAAAATATCTTTAAGCGATGGATTCTTGTGCACCAAAATATACACATTTAAGGATGTGACCTCAGTGTGGTTACGATTTTCAGCTTTTTTCTCATATTTAGCTGGCAGTGGGCGAGAGGATTGCACATTCTGGACATCAGTCAATTACAGGGCGCACTGCTTCCATTGGGCATATTTAGGATAGTGATAGAGTCATGGTGCATGCAGGAAAACCGTTGCACTTGTGGACATGACCTAATGAAGTATAACCACATTTTTTTTATTATCCTTAGTTTTCTGCGTTTGTCACTGCATGAGCCAGCAACTTAAATTTTTTAAAAAGGACATTGACCAAAGTGATCCAAAGCAATTAAAAGAATTTGAACCCTTGTTAAATAAACTGAAAATGAAAGACAAAGACAAATGAAACGTTAAAAAGGTGAATAATAACTTAAAATATGTTATTCCTGTTTATAAAAGATGCATTTTCATTTTCTTTCTAATTTGTGAAGTACATGCGGTAAAATCTAGGCAGGCTGACATGTGTCCAGACAGCAGTACTTCACTTTTAAATATGAACCACCATTATTCAAAAAGGAAATAGCATTTAAATGGTAGGAACTAAAACATTTTTTTCTTCCTCTTTACCAGAAGATGGACGGTTAAAGTACAAAGTTAGCTTTGAAGAAAAGGGGAAGATTCTAGTATCCGGTCACCACATTGCCTTTGACACCCCACCAAAGGTAGAGCATCTTTTTGTTGGCACTCGGGTTGTTGTTCAGTGCCAGGATAACAAGTTCCAGTTCCGGCCTGGTGTTTTAGCCGAGCTCCCCAGCAGAAAGAACCGCTTCAGGTGTTCATACCTCTATGAACAAACATAATCACGGGCTTTTTGTCAGAAGAAACGAGTGTCTCACACATCGCTGTTTAATTTTCCAGGTTCTTGGTCTTTATGGATGATCACACGCCGGTCTATGTCGGCTTACCTTTTTTTCACCTGGTTTGCAGACCGTGTAAGTTGTGCTGTGCTCTGGCTTTTCTTTTACTCACAGTTGCAGCAAGCAGCAGACAGGAGAGTGTTTATTTGAAGCACGCTTATGTATTTAATTCATTTTTCAACAGCGGAAAACATGTTTGACGACATTCCCGACGGCCTTCATAAGCATTTCATGAAACAGTACATGAAGGACTGGCCGTACCCTCATTTGACCATATACAGGGTTGGACAGAGCCTCAATGCAGAATACTTCGGAGAGCAGCAGAGGTGTGAGGTGCAGGCGATCGACTGCAGCTTGATACAGGTCGTTTTTCAGGTGGGTGTCTTTTTTTTTTTTTTTTTTAATCTTTACATTTTAACCAGTCAACAGCAGATCTAATGCTTATTCATACTTCAGTAAATATATTTAACAGAGGTGCTTGTCAGGTTGTGGCACAGGATTTCAGGAGGGTTTGAAATTATGAGGTACAGACAGCATGTTTAACCTAAAAACATATCTCCAGTGTAAGTCTGCCTTGGCTACGTTTAAATAATCCAAAACTAAAACAAACAACGCTCCCGTTTCTTTTCCTAATCACCTTTCCTTGACAGTGTGCCCTTTTTTATGTCTCGCTCAGGCTGACCATCACAGAGAGTGGATCTACAGAGGCTCCATACGCCTGGAACATGCACAGGCTAGGTTTTTGGAACTGAGCGTGAGGAGAGAGGCCATGAATGAGTCTGACTCTGACTAAATATCCACAGAGAGTGGATGCTGTGAAAATACTGGGAATAGCATTCACAACCCTCTTTCTCTCGTGCAAATAAATGACTCAAGGATATAAGGAGGAGATTTAACCTGTTTGAACGGGGTGCTAATTTTGTAATCTTTAATTTGCTGCACAGTTGTGCGAAGTGACTGAGTGGACCATCGCACTGCCGAATGAACAAGACATAATTTTTCCTAGAAAACATGCGAACGATGATTTTCTTTTTCAATTTCTAAAAAAATGGCACTTTATCTTTGCACAACTTTTAACAGCAAGGTTAAGCAGCTATATTTTTTCAACTTTTTTTGAACAGTTATATGTGAAAATGTTCATACCCTCATTTATTAACTTGGCCACGAATAGAAATTTGTCTGATGTGTGTTCATTCACTTTTTTCAGTGTTGTTTTTTATGAATTGGGAACAATTCATATAAACCTTTTTTCATATTTACAGATTGATATGACAGTTATGTCTCTGATTTATTTTGCCTTTGGTGTCTGTTATGTTGCATCCTTTGTCGTTCAACAATAAAAAATTAAAAAAAGCCTTGTATATAAGCTTGTCATATACAAGCAAATACCCTCTGCCTCATTCATTTCCTTTACTGGAGTGCATAATTGTAATTTAAAGACAAATCTGAGCTCTCACCTGCTAAATTTACTAATATAAAAATGACTGACATAGAAGTTTAGCTATCTAATATTTCTACACTTTGACCTGGTCACACTAGTTAAATAAATACCTTTTAATACATATCAGGAATGTAGCAGAGAGGAAACTTAAGGGAAATGGATGTATGCAAGGTAGTGTTTCATATTTGCTCCTAAGTGCAAATTTTAGACTAGTATGAATTATCTGAGAAGCAAAGCACCAAACAATTAATTTGCTGTACTTAAAAATTTAACTGACGAAGACTGAGGTTCCATGGATCACAGCAGTAGGAAAACGTTGCATGGTCTTACCGATCCTAGTTTCTGATGCAACATTTTGGATGGCAAATGTTGTGTAATCATATGTTTATCAATCCATCCTGCCTTGTGTCAACAGTTCAGACTGGTGGTGGAGTGATGGTGTGGGGGATATTTTCTTGGCACACCTCAGGCTCTTTGGAACCAACTAAACATCCAGTCATCTGGAAGACTAATAAAAATAAAGTAAAACTAATAAGAAAATGCAAAACTATAATAACTCTGCGTTCCATACATAGCAATCGGTTTAAAAAGAAGTAGAAGATTGTCGGTCGTATTTCCGGACGCAGGGGGCGGCAGTGAGTCTCACAGGTCTACCCAGCAACATGAAGAGAAGAAGACCATAGGACAAAGCTAAGGTATGGCTTGCTTCTTATTTGACATTTTAAATTAAAATTAATCAAATTAATTAATCTAGCTGAAATTAAAAGAATGTTTATCAGGTTGGATACACTTTGTGCGATAAAGAGGCGCAGAGTCAGGATGAAACGGTCTCCACGGCTAACTGATTGAAGTCCATGCTAGCTTCGACCAATAAGTCTCAAGACAAAATCAGATGCTGGTATTTTGGGTTTTATTTATTTAGTTAGTTATTTTTAGTAAAGCCCTAAACACCTTATCTTGGCTGGACGTCTTTTTTTAAAATATACGAGCTTGAGCTTGAGAAGTGTTTCTGATTTACTTTTAATCCCCCCTATTTGAGCCCGCACACCTAGATGCAGAGGAACCAGATGTTCGCCAGGTTTCAGAATACTTTATCGATCCCTGGGGGAAA